AAAGTAGGACAGAAAACATAGGAAGAAAACATAACCTGATCTCCATGGTGCGTCTCATACAAAAACTAAAGAAACTTATTCACATCTTTTAGAAATGTCCAATGAGCTCTTAAAAATCGAGAATACTATCCCACAACATACCTGCCAACAGAAGCAATGGCATATTATTAAACAGAAGCATAACATCATTTAACATCGAGCAAATCAATACAAAAACATCCCTTACATGATATTACGTGCAATAACAACTTTGTTATCTTTTCCCGTTGTGATTTCACAGAGATATAACACATCTCAAATGACCATGACAAAAAGTATGTATTCCTGCCACATAAACTTGATGTGAGTAATAACCGTTTCAAAAAAAATCACAACCAAAAGATAAACAAAGGTACATGTCGTGTTCTCAATTTTGTTTTATTAATTTTCCAAAAACAAAGGAGTTGGGTTCTTCTAGTCTATATCTTCTCTAGCGTGTCTTTTATTAAAACAAAATACAATCATGTACTGGATTTTAGAATTCAAATGCGAACCTACGTAAACGAAAGGGTATCACCACACCAATAAAGATGTTAACAGACTTGAACACTAATCAAGCAAAATGAAAAACTATGTGCAAGAAACAGAGGAAGAGGTGCTACACAGATGTGAAAAAAAAAACATGACAATACAGTATCTAGCAAGGTGGGTCCATTCTCAAACATGCCACAGGCATGATATGGTACACATACACAAAGCATAAAAAATCTCATAACTATGTCACACTATTTCACCTGATCCCATAAAATTTCATGAATATATACTTGCAACATACAATCACAGAAAGACATAAAGCTAAGAAAACAAACCTGCCTTGCAAAATGAGGTGAAGAACAGTGCAAAATTTTGATGATACCCTAAACAAGGGGAAAATTTTGTGAGAGATGCTTCACAAGTAACTTGGTAGTATGTACGGATTCAATTTTGCCATAATACAGAGACTTACTTGTTCCTCACTTGAACCATATGAATATGCCTCAAGAATATTGGTAGAGTTGCAAAACTGAAGGGTTGCCACCTGTGAACACAAAAAAGACAGATACACGCACATAGAAACACATACAAAACACAACATGCACACACAAGGACTCAAAGGCAAACAAAGGCACACAACACAGAGCACAGACATGGAGCACACAGAAATGAGCACGCAGAGAACACAAACACAGGTACACGCACAGGGACATAAACTAAGCTGTTGATATAAGAAAAAGTAGGACAGAAAACATAGGAAGAAAACATAACCTGAACTCCAGGATGAGTCTCATGCAAAAACTCAAGAAACTTATTCGCAACAGCTTTTAGAAACGTCCAATGAGCTCTTAAAAACCGGAGATACTGTCCCACAACATACCTGCCAACAGAAGCAATGGCATATTATTAAACAGAGGTATAACATCATTTAACATCGAGCAAATCAATACAAAAACATCCCTTACATGTTATTACGTGCAATAACAACTTTGTTATCTTTTCCGTCGTGATTACACAAAGATATAATACATCCCAAATGACCATTACAGAAAGTATGTATTCCTGCCACATAAACATGATATGAGTAATAATTATTTCAAAAAAAATCACAACCAAAAGATAAACAAAAATACTTGTACATAAACTAAGTTGTTGATATAGGAAAAAGTAGGACAGAAAACTTAGAAAGAAAACATAACCTGAACTCCAGGATAAGTCTCATGCAAAAAGTCAAGAAACTTATTCGTAACAGCTTTTAGAAACGTCCAATGAGCTCTTAAAAATCGAGGATACTGTCCCACAACATACCTGCCAACAAAAGCAATGGAATATTATTAAACAGAGGTATAGCAACCTTTATCATCGAGCAAATCAATACAAAAACATCCCTTACATGATATTACGTGCAATAACAACTTTGTTATCTTTTCCTGTTGTGATTTCACAGAGATATAATACATCCCAAATGACGATGACAAAAAGTATATATTTCTGCCACATAAACATGATGTGAGTAATAATTGTCTCAAAAAAAAAAATCACAACCAAATGATAAACAAAGATACCTGTCGTGCAATAACAACTTTGTTATCTTTTCCCATTGTAATTTCACAGAGATATAATACATCCCAAATGACCATGACAAAAAGTATGTATTCCTGCCACATAAACATGATGTGGGTAATAATTGTCTCAAAAAAATCACAACCAAAAGATAAACAAAGATACCTGTGGTGTTCTTAATTTTTTTTTTAATTTTCCAAAACCAAAGGAGTCGGGTTCTTCGGGCCTATATCTTCTCTAGTGTGCCTTTTATTAAAACAAAATACAATTACCTATAAAATAAATTTTTAACTGGATTTTAGTTATATTTTTATATGTATTAGCTATGTATACTATCATTTATCACACTTTGAAAACACAAGTTTTAGCAATCATAAATCATAATCATAACATAAGAAATAGACAACTATAAGTTATGAATGTCAACATCATTATACCTTAAAATCTTCGGTATCATCTACATATGAGATGTTGATAAGATATTCAACACCCAAAAGCAAAGTAGATGTATTCTCTTTACTGGATTCCCGAATTCAAATGTGAACCTGCATAAACAGAAGGGTATCACCACACCACTAAACAGAAACCCTAAACAAACATAGAGACAAAGATAAATCACACAAGGACGAATAAGCAAAACCTTAGGGTGTCTTATACGAATGTGTTTTATAGGTTAATTTTTTTCAAATAAATAATTATTTCAACTACTAAATTAAGTTAATTCGTTTTAGAAATCAACATACTTCATGCTTACTACATTTTATGGACTAACTTATCATTTTTATTTTATTTTTACAAGTGGGATTGAGGCACTTCGTGCCTTTTTTAAAAATAAAATAAAGATAAATATTAAATAATAAAAATATATTAATCTAATTGGTATTATGATTAATTCATTAATTTTAAATTCTTAAATTTGATTAAAAATATTTTTTTTAATTTTTTAAAATAAAAGAGTATAATGGTCAAGAAAAGTGAAGACCAAGGTGGTTAGTGAAAAGGGTATCCCTTTAATATATTAGTATAGATTAAAAAATATAGAAGTTAAGATGAATTTATATAAAAAGAAACATAAGTAATATATTAACCTATATTTTTGTTCTAAAAAATTAATATTTTAGCAAAAATTAAGATAACCACATTTTTTATAAAATTTTGATAAACACACCGATTAACAAAGAATAATCAATAACAAAAACTTAACCTTACCCAATTTTTGAGATATCAAAAGATATTTTATATTTGATTGCACTTATTGTACTTCTTGTCAAGATACAAAATCACACCCCAAGTCCCAACCCCTGAAATACTACATAAAGATGATCATTGCTTGGGCAATACACATTATATTAACAAAATAAAAAAAATCCACAATTCAAAGAGAATTAATAAGAACTATGCATTCAGTGTTTCAATCATTTATGGCTTCGACGATACTTGAATACTCAAAACCCATTTCAATCATTTCTGCAATCACCTGGTCCGAACATGTGTCGATGTCGTCCATCGCATTTCTTGCTATAAATTAAAATTAAGAAAGAAAGATCCCCTTTTGCTTTCGGGAACGAGGGAAAAAGAAAAATCAAAAGCAAAATAGAATTAAGAAAGTAAGATCCCCTCCTACAGTGTTTGTTTTGTTCGAGCTCTCAATCCCGCCAAATCTTTTTATAATTGAAAAAATAGAACCGTACGTTTCACTATTTCTTTTAATAAATTTGATGAAATAGTATTTAATTAATTATATAAATAAATATAAACTACATCAATAAATATAAAATATAGTGACATTAAGAATAAATTAAAAATAATATTAAAAATCTTAATATTTAATACATATAATTTTTTCATTAATTTAAAATATTGTTTATTTTAATTATTTATTTAT